TCCTAAGGACAACCACAGAACAAGAACAGACCCAAATCTCCATCTCCAGAAAGGATATATCCTGGTCAGAGGAGGCAATTAAAACCAAGCACATAAGGTATCAGAAAGTACTGTTGTGGTAAAATTATAAAGCAGAGAAGAACTAAGTGAATGCCCCATAGGGACTTGTTCATTCTAAGGACGGGCTTGCAGGCAAGAGGAATGAGAGAAGAGAAAGGCAGAGGCATTGCAATCTGAGGGGAGAGCCATGGAGAAGCTGTCCCTAACACACCCAGAGCACATGGGGCCAGATTGTGACTTTAGTCTTCTCCTGGATAGGGAAAGCTATCCCACCCCATGGGGAGATGTTAATACAGAAGTTTGATGTCTGGTTCACATTTCTGCCTCCTTCAAGCTTAGTTAGACTAAGTCTATTGTTTTAGGAGATGGAAGTACTTCTTAGTGTCCTTTGCATAATTAACTTTATACCCCTGAAAAGTTGAAGATGCAATTTGTTTTATGGTGCTAGGGATTGAACTTACGACCTCTCATATTGTGAGTGCTCTAGTGTCGTGTTATAAGCCCAGTTCAGACTTTGAGGATGTGACTAGAAACGTAGCGGCTCCTCTGTGATGGTGTTCTCTTTGTGATCAGCTCCGACTCCTAACCCTGATATTACCAGAATATTGTCAACAGACATATTGACATATCAGAACCAGTCCTTGTTTGAAGGGCAGCTTCAAGCACATATTGACATATGGGGTTTTATAAGTAGAGTAAGAGAATCATTCACAGTAAAGTTCATTTAAATACTTCAATGGACTTTGGAGGGATCCGGGCTTGAATCATGGAATTGACTTTTACCATCTGTGGAATGTGAAGTTAGTTAGGTAAGTGATCTGGGAGTTTGGCTTTCTATCACAAGGATGGCAGTAAGAATCCAACCCAAAAGAGTGGTTAGAAGATTCATGAAGTCAGTACCTGTTAGTGCCCACCAGCATTTATTCCTCACCGTCCCCTTATGTCTCAATTTCTTCTTTCTGTTGCATGATTCAGAATTGCTGCCCACATTGAGTTGTGATGAGACTGCCATTAATCATCAGTTTTGGCACCAAAGGCTTCCAACAATATGGTTGAACAGGAGAGCCCAGGTTGTTGCTCTGAGGCCAGCCTTGACCTCAATGGTCTCTTTGTGTGTACTCTCTAGCACCCCACCCTCCTGAAGAGCCCAGAATGGAAGTGAGGTGCTGAGTGGAAAGCCCTCGGTACTGTGCATGGTTATTGCTCATCTTCATTAAATCTTCCTTTGTGTAGTTCTGCCGATTCCCATAGTTTTGAGAAAAATTTTTTATAATATATGTATAAATTACATGCCATGTAAAAGCAAAACAAAAATATGAGTCCTAGTGGTTTGTTTTATTGCTAATGATAAAATAATAAGCTATACCTGAATACTGGGTATCGACTGCATAGGAATGGGAAATCTCATGGCTAGATTCCTGAGAGACTACCTCACTAGCCAATCAAACCGTCCCTTAGATGTTACTCTCGAAAGCATTTGTAGATATGGTTAAATGTACAGTCAGTCAATTCTAAGTAAAATAAATTACCCAGTAGGCCTCCTGTAATTTAGTTGCACAGCCTTGAAACCAGAATGGAGGTTTCTCTGCAGGATTCTTCCTCAAGATCACAGCATTAGCACCTACCCTAGCTTCCAGGCTGAGAGTGTGCCCTTCAAATTGTGTACTTGTTAGCTTCTACAACTGTACAAACCAGCTCCTTGAAATGGGTCTCTGTATGCACATATGCATACGTAGATTCCTTCCAGAAATTGCTTCTGTTTCTCTGGAGAACTCTATCTAATTCAGTGTCTGAAGGCTCATTTATTTATTTTTGTCAAAAATTCCCTTTTTATGGTGCTAGGGGTCAAACCCGGGGCCTTTCATATTAGGCAAGGGTCCTATCACTGAACTACCTTTGCAATCTGTCATGAATATTTGGCAGAAGGCTGAGGCAGGATGGTAGCAAGTTCAAGGTCTGCCTGGGTTATAGACTGAGTTCAAGACCTGCATGGGCAACTTAGCAAGATGCTATCTCAAGACAGAAAATTAAGTAGGAAGCATACATGGCTCATGGATAGCATATGCAAGGCTCTGGGTTTAAACTCGCAGTACTACAAAAATAAAGAATGATTCTTTATGCTGCTTCAACCATGTGATGGGATATTACAGAAAGGAAGTATCAATAGCGCCGCACCATACAGTGCAATTCTGTCAGCATCCCAAAATTTCCTTTGGTCAAGGATAGGTAACCTGACTCCAGTGGGAGACGGTCCCTACTTTGGCAATGACTAGCATGGCCTAACCTCTCAGGGTCACAGGGAACATCAACGGGGTTCTAAGTGAACAACAGAGTGAATGTAAATGCCAAATTCATAACTAGATTTAGAGTGTTAACAGCTGGTGTGGGAATCTTGCATGCCTTCTTCATGACTAATGGTTCTGCTGGGTTGTCAGCTTCTTAGAGTCTTTTTCCATTCCATCATTATTTATTTATTTATTTATTTATTTATTTATTTATTTATTTATTTATTTGAAACAGGGTTTCTCTGTGTAGCTTTGTGCCTTTCCTGGATCTTGCTCTGTAAACCAGGCTGGCCTCAAACTCACAAAGATCCACCTGCTTCTGCCTCCCAAGTGCTGGGATTAAAGGCATGCACCACCACTGCCTGGCCATCATTTATATTTATATTCTTAGACAAGTTATGAATTTGGCATTTATATTCACTCTGTTGTTCACTTAGAACCCTGTTGATGTTCCCTATGACCCTGATAGGTTAGACCATGCTTTTATTGCCAAAGTAGGGACAGTCCCCCACTGGAGTCAGGTTACCTATCCTTGACCAAAGGAAATTTTAGGATGCTGAGAGAAATGCACTGTATGGTGCGGAGATAGTGATACTTCCTTTCTGCAAGGTCCCATCACATGGTTGAAGTATACTCATAACTTGTCTAAAAATATAGCTATATGATGAGGTCACAGAGTAAAACTGGTTGGCACGCTCCTCTCCAGGTAAAATTCGGACCTTAACTAGGACACAAAACCCCTGTTGTCTATGAGAAAATATATTTGCGCAAGGATGGCTGCACTGCAGCTTCTAGAATGAACACACGGGAGGACAAATTGCAACGTGGAGAGATATTACACAGAGGATAAATCTGCTTCCATTTCTACTAGGCTGTCCTTAATCGTATGGAAATAAACCTTTGGTGGAAAGTGAGATTAAAAACTGTGACATCATCTAAATTTAGAGCTGCTGCTCCAAGCTAAAACCTTGAGTGGGCTCCAAATTTCATTTTCTTGTCACCTAGTTAATTTTTCTACTTTCTCCTTTTTCTTTGTTGCAAAGCTTCCTCGCAGCACTTTCGCAATTTGGAGGAAGAAAATAAAAAACCTCTTACCGAGTCTCTGGTTTCCTATTTCCTCGCCGTGTATTTCATTAGGTGTTTTCTTCAGTCATTTTTTATACTTTCCTATAAATTTGGTTATCAGAGATTGAAATCAAAGGCAGGGGCCAATCCTGTTTCTAGAAGGAAAGTCCAGAAGGAGTATAGACCTGGAATCACCTGCCAAGCACAAACTCCCCTAGAGACCAGGATGGCTCCAGGTTGCTAATGAGACCAAGACAAGAGCTTGCTAATGACCAAGATGCATTGCTCTTTGTTGGGTGGTAACCTGTACCTCGTACGCAAACGCAGAACCAAAAGTGAGGGGAGACATCTGGCCACAGACAGCAGAGAGATGTGTTTAAGCACAACTAAGCTCCAAGCCCTGCCCTCCACAGCACCACGTGATGTCAGAGCACTCCAGGCATGTTTTCTAATTCACATGCTAACGTGCTCTCACTTACCTCTGTGCATCTTCAGTTGGCTTCACTTCTTTCTTAATCCTTGTTTCCAACTTCTAGTCCTTCTTCAATCTGTGTTTCTCTCACCCCTGATGTGAATTTACAATATTTCTTGCCTCCTTGTCCCTTTCCCTCATAGCCTCTCCTCCTTCACCTGTTTGCTGAGTTCTATCGCACTTCCAAAAAAGATCCTTTCTCGCATCTTAACTCCCCCTTTCCTCTTGACATGTTGTGGTTTTAATCATTGCTTTGGATTTTCATCCCAGTGGCTGGCGTTTTCTTACTGAACGGAGAGGGCTTTTGTCACTACAGAAAACCAGCAAAGACCCAACACATTCAATTCACAATTCAACTGTCTGTGTTCCTCCCGCGTGGTGCTACTGACTGGATTAGCCATGGACTGCTTGCTTCTACAGAGCAAAGCACTTCAGCCTGATTTTTCAGCCCTCAAACTCACATGGCAGGGCATGTCTGAGCTGCCGCATTCCCACTGATGGCTAGAGTTGTTAAAAAAAAAATGCTTTTCAGAGGAAAGCCCTTACCTAAGTGTTCCTGAGGGGCAAACAGAGCAACGCTATTTTATACTATGAGGAACCAGACTTGTAGTCCTCAGCCTGGTCAAAACTCCTGGTAGAAACTCCTACCCCATTTTTTTTTTTACACAGGAAACAAAGGTATACAGTGGACTCCTGGGAGGCGCATGGAGCTCGGTCCTGCCCACACCCCTGAGAACAGTCCAAACCTGCAAAGGCCACTGAGACTGTTCAGTGAAGCAAGTCTCTGGCTAACCCAACTGGAAGTAAGACCTTTATATAGGAGAACAAAATAGATAAGTTCTTCAGGACCACCTGGTTTTGTTATCTGACATTAGAAAATACCCAGTCACCACAGAAACATCATGTACACTTTACAGAGGGATTTCACTTTGCTTTTTCAACACTCCACAACTGTTTACCTGGTTTTAGATTTTGAACTCATTCCTTGGTGTAAGGTTGCATGTGGATTCACTTTACCTTTGTGTGCTCCTCAGGATGTAGGCCCCATTCCTTCATGATGAGGGTGCAAAGTAATCTGCCCCCAGGAGGACCTGCCAGCTTGTCATTAGAAAGGATACTTGTGATCAAATCCATACCACATCCTGAAGAGCTGTGCACTCTCTGTCTTGGTCAGGTTTTTATCCAACTTATTTGCTTCCTGGAGAGAGACCATAGAAAATAGTACATCTTAAATACATGCCAAACCAAATCCAATTCAACTACATCCCTAAAGAAACATTTCTTTAAAAAGAAGTCTAGGCATGTTCATCTTAATAGTGAAAGAATTTTCAAATTAGCTCAGAGATTTTACTATGTGGATGAGACTTTTTGGTACAATTCAGCATTCCCTTTCTTAATCATCAATTTTATTAAATAGCTAAGAGATATCACTTTCGGACACCAGTGAAAATGGTGTTTCTGTCACATTGCTGTTGTGGGAATTTTGCAGTCCATTTAAATCTAGGTGACATTTATTTACAGAGTACCAAGAAATCACTAGAGAAGTAACAGCCTACTGATCATTACACTGGTTTTCATTCATTTTCTTTTTGGTAGATCACTATTAAAGGCTGTGACTGGTTTTTGATGCCTTTCTGTTAAGATTAGGAACAGTTCAAAGAGACGTTCCTGACGGGAAGTCACTAAAAACTGTAGGTACACTTATTTCTCCCCACCCCACAAGCGCCAGAACGTCAGGGAGAAGGAAATAAAGACAAAAGAGAATGACCATGTATTTGAGGCATCATGTCAAAGCGGAGGACGAAAGGTGGAAACAGGAAAGAAGGCAACTGGAAGGTTTTGTGCTAACAATGCTTGCACCATGGCAAGATGGATCTGCAGGAGCATTTTGATGCCTGAATATTCCATTCTGCATATTAAGGAAAGTGAATTCCAATCAATTTCGATTGTGATGGCTGCTCACACTGGGCTTAGTGTGGGCTTTTTGCTTTGTCTGGGCCCAGAATTTCCACTTCAAACTATCTATGACTTGGCTGATCAGCAGTAAAGTGAGCATTGTTCTGATGCATGATGACGCATGGAAGACCATGGAAACCCACCCACTACACTGAAGTCAGCCCTCCTCAAGCCCAGCTTGACTTGATTTCATTGTATTTAACTTGTTTCTTGCTCTTCCCAGCCAGCTCCATTACTGATAATGATGAATAGCTATGCTTTGCTCTGTGAAATGTCTGCTAGTGAATGTTACAGCTCCAAGAAATGAGAATACAGGAATGGTAAGTGTGTCCCATTGTTATTTACCATTTACCTTTTGTAGAAAATGGTACAGCAGAGACTCACATGGAAACCAAACCCAAGCCCATCATCCTTCTGTCTTAAGATCTCTAACATTTCAAAATTGAAAGCTTCCTACATGATGCTCCCTGAAATACCACTGTTCCTGTGATACTGATAGAAATTCCATGGCAAACAATGAGGATAGATAGGCTAGACAGTTCCTTAAAGGGTTCCTTAACACCCAATGTTCCAACTTTTTGTTTTTTGTTTTTGAGACAGCAGCTCACTATGTAGTTCTGGCTATTCTGGAACTTGCTGTGTAGACCAGGCTGGTTCAAACTCAAACTCATGGAGAACCACCTGCCTCTGCCTCCTGAGTGCTGGGGTTAAAGACCTGGTGCCACCACCTTCTAACCTTTTATAATGACCATTGGAAAAAAATCTTCAAGAGGGTAATGTTTCCACACCCACTGGACTATAGACCTCATTTTTCATTCCCAATCTTTCCATGAGAGCCTGTTGTCTCTCATGGGCACTATGAGGTCTCTGCTCTGTAAATGGTGAAATGCCATGCTTTGGTCTCAAGAGTTAGAATTTCTTCTTATCTCTCTCCAAAGGAAACAGTTATCAAACTTGGTCTCCCTATCCTTTCTCTCTGTAGCTATGTTTACCCAACAATGGTATCAGAACAACTGCTTCATACAGCAATTTCTGCACCATGAAGCAACCTGGGCAAGCTATTTATGAGCCTCTATTGCTCACAGCATGGCAGGGTAGCATGCTCAGCTACCAGAGCAAAACTTCTCACAAAAAAACTGGAAAACCAGACTAGTTAAAAAAGCTCTGCACAGAATGCGGGGACTTTCTTCTCAGGGTCTCTTTTTCTTTTTCCTTAGGAACAAGGACTTTTGGAGTTTTACCCATCAACAGGCATGGGTGATTTCAGTAGCTGGTTGCATCTACTAATCACAAAATAGTTACTGAGTAAAGTTGACAAAAGGGAGTGTTGGGACCTTTCCCCTCTTTTAGAAAGAAAGGGTGGGTGTTGAGGTGGTAAGCTTGGATAGCATTTGGAGGCTCAGCTGCCAGCCTTCAGCAGCCTAGCTGAGCGGCTTTGAAATAATGACAGTTCCTAGCTATTGAAGGCTCGTTAACTTCCAGGCAGCATGCTAGTCACATTATTCAGCCATTAATTTTTCCAATCGTTATTTTTCAATTTTCACCACAATCCATCTAGGTTGGTTGAGGTTCTAGTTATTTTGTACTCAAGGACCTAGAGACACACAGAGAAGGGAAGATGTGAGTACAAAGTCACACAGTTAGAAAGAAACAGCAGTGACTTGAGTCTGGGATTGAATTGCTGGACTCTGAAGATGATGTTTCCTCCAAGGGTCTCATATTTAAACTATAGAAAGCACAGCCATTCTCTAATGGACAACATAATTTCATAGTTTTCTTTTCCTCTCTCCCTCTTCTTTTCTGCCTTCCTCAGACTCTTTCATAGGCTGACCTCAAACAACATCCTCCTGCCTCAACCTCATGAATGCTAGAATCATAGCATACTCAGTGTGACTTACAGTTTCTTAATTGTAAAATTAATTGAGGAAATTAGACTGGTTTCTAAGGAACAAAAACCATTTGGAATTACTAATTTGTATTATTGGCCATTCTTAAAAGCAGTGGATGCCTCTTGAGCACATGCCAATCAATGTCAAACAACATTCTAAATGATTTTTGCATTTTGTAGATTCTGATAACAAGTCATGAAAGTGTGCTCTGTCATTACCTCCATTTTAAAAACAAGGAACCCAAGGTGAGTGGGGAACATGGAGATTTCTGAGCACACTTTAAGTTCCCCTAGAAGCAGGAATTCTTTCATCCAGCTAGAGCTCTGGGTTGTAAACAGGAAGCCAATGAGGGCAAAAGGGGTCTCTGAGAAGGAAGATAAATTCAGGACACTGAGATGGTCGTGGAGACAGAGAGCTACATACAACTTAGGCTCTTGGGCATTCTTTTCAAGGATGTTCTATAATCTTAGAAATTCTCCTCTCTTGTCTTTCCTCTTTCTGCCCCCTTTTCATTTTGCTTCCTAAGGATACAGAATTGGAACTTATAAGCACTCCTGAGAGGACATATTTCTGGAAAAACTTCTACAGATTTTTTTTTCTCAGTCAGCTGAAGGGTGCAATATGTAATTAAAAACAACCTTTATTTTAGTTGAGTGACTGGAGATGTTATTCATCTCACTTTGTAAAAAAGTAAATGGAGTTCTAATTCTAATAAAACAGGGGTGGAATGTGTTTTCCCAGGTGGGAAAATTCCACTGATGACTAAGAATTGACTGCTTTGCTGATCCTAGTTAAAAATTTCAATATGTATCTTAAACATCTGTTGGCCCAGATCTGGATCCATTCATTTATTTCTCTGGAGTTATTGATGACTTAATAACTTGGTTATGAAAGGCCATTAATAAATGAGCAGAAATAAATGAGTTAGTCCAGTGTGTGTTCTGCTCGTGTAGTGGGGGCTAAAGATAAAGGAGCCAAGGGAAGGCCAACCTTTGCTGTCACAGTGGAATGGGGAAGGTAGCCGACAAGACAGCATGGGACGCAAGCCCTTAGAAGGGTCCTAATGTGCAGAGGACAGAAGGGGCATCAATCTACCTGCATTATTCTGAAATAGAGATCAACACAGGCTTCAAGCAGAACGGATGTGAGCGGTCATCTGGAGGAGGATGGATCTACAGTTCCATGGTGTTTTTCTTTCTCACTAACAATGGTTATTCTCTATTAAGTTTCTTTATTCCACAGAAGCGATATGCATTTTAGAACAAGCATAGGATACAACATATCCTCACCTTTTCTATTCCCAGATGAATTCTTAAATGTTCCCAAGACCAAGATTTGGACTCTCTTCCATTGAATAACAATGATACACTCACCAACTCAGAGCCTCGGGTTTCCCAGCTCTGCATGGGAACTGGAAATTCAAGAGTGTTGAATTGTACCTTGCTACGTCTAAGAAGCAGGATGATGGATGTATATGGAATTTCTGGCTCCTTTATTATCTTCTGTTTCTGGGAACATTTAAAAAATGGCTAGGCAATCTGATCTTTCTCCCACCCACCCCCACCCCCCACTCTTTGAACAAGGGAACAGAGTAGAGATTGGGAAATGACTGGGCACAGCAGGAAGTGGGTAGTTTTCTTTTTCCTGAGCCCTTCATGTATGGCACCACTCTGAGAGGAGAGATTATGACAGTCTTCTTTATTTTGGGTTTATTTGGACTGGTGAAGGAAAAACCAAGGGCTCTGGCCAGAAACCTATAAAAACCAGACACAGAAGCAAGGAAGGATGGTCTGCTGCGTGGGCTCCAAAGAAAAGCACTAAGAAATGTGAAGGCTTTGCCCCAATACTGTGAAAATGGGGCTTTTCCTGACTGGACTGGGGACTGCAGCCGGTACCTACTGCGGGCTGCCGCTCATTTCAGATGGGCGTGTGAAGGAGTGTTTTCCTTTCTCTTTCTCAGTATTTCATATTCAATACTAATGTCAGTAGAAGTTAAGATTATTAAATGGATTCTGAAATTATTTCCACAATGATAGGAGGCCCCGTCTGGGTTCCCAAGTTGCTTTTCAGTGGTCCATATCAATGGAATTGGCTTTTGGTATTTTGCCTTATCACTTCCATCCAGATGGAGAGTCTTATGTGGTAATCTCAAATTTATGCCTTGATTTACTAATTACTAAGGAGAGAACCAAATTTTGTGCTCTAAAGGGAAAAATTACAGGATTCTGAAGGGGGGTGTCATAGCATAACTGAAGGGCAAATGGAAAACTTTTGAAGTTACCTTTTAAAAGGTCAACCATTAATTCTTAGTCTTCACATAGAAACACTTTATGCAAATGTTCTCACCATCTCT